GTCTGCCCTGCACCCGGGCCATGGGGTGGGGCAGACGCCGCAGAGCTGAGAAGGGGTCATGTGTCCACGGTGCTCACAGCCCGTGCCGGTTGCCGGCGCCGCTCTTCGCGGCTTCCCCGGGGCGCAATGGCCAGGACCAGACTGAGGTGGACGTGTTCATTTTCCGCAGCGGAGATGAGGAAGCAGAGGGAGTTCTACCACAAGCTCGGCATGGAGGTGCCTGGGGACGTCAAGGGGGAGACGTGCTCCGTGAAGCAGCACGTAGATTCCCATCGGAACGGTGAGTGCCAGTGAGACGCAGGCACTCGCCGGCGCCATCCCTGCACCTGCAAGCCCTCTGCTCTGTGGGGACCCTTTGAAGGAGCGCGAGGGGAGGTTACGGTGACCTGCGTGTTCCCCAAGCCCCTTGGCCCCAGGGGATCCGGGGGGGTGCACGGGGGACCTCTGTGCTCAAGTGGTGCCCTTGTCTCACACCAACTCAGGGACAATCCACTGGTTGGGCGGGGACAGGGAGGCCAGGAGGATCCCTCAGAGTGCCTGGAACTGGGGTCCCCGTGGAGATGGGCTACGGGGAGAGGCACAGAGAGAGTTGACGGCGGCTTAAGCCATTCCACCTGTGTGACCGTGACGTGCCAGCTCCCTGGTGGTTTGGGGATAGTGGATGGTGTTTGTGTGGCGTGCCCTAGCTGTACCGGAGTCTGGGGGGCTGTGCACGTTCCCAAGCATTGCCTGTCTGCCCCGGGTGTTGCTAGCCCTCAGGAGACTGGTGCGGGCAGGTGGACCACCGTTCCCGCCAGCAGCACCTGGAGAGGGGAGGCTGCGGGCAGAAGCCAGGAGCACACCCTTTAAAACGGGGGTCGGGGCCGTTTCAAAGGCGGGCGCGTAAAGAGCCGGCGCATCACACTTGGCTGTACGGGGAGCCAGCATGGAAGGGCATTCGGACCCCTCAGGCGGCTGGCCGGGGGCGGCGTGAGCTCGTCGGTGCCCTGGCACCTGCCGCCACAGCCCTCATCTCCTGGGCCCACCCCTTGTCTGGTGCGCGCACTCGCGCGGGTGCACACCTGCTGCCTGGCCGTTGGCGCCGCCTCACGCGGGCGCTCTGCGCGCAGGTGAAACCAAAGCGGAGGACAGTCCCAACAAGGAGGCGGCCGAGGAGAAGCAGGAGGAGGACAACGACTACCACCGGAGCGACGAGCAGGTGGGCGCGCCGGCCCAGGCGCCTCTGGGTGTTTCGTGACCCCGCCCCCGCCTGGAAAGGAGGGTCCCGGGCACCCCGTATGTGTGTCTCTCTGGGGACAGTCTGCTGACCTGCAGATGCCGAGCCTCGCGCGGGGCCCTCTGCCACTGGCCCCGTTGCTCCGCCCCCTGCGTCTCCCCAGGCCACGCCCTTCCGCCGGCTGCGCCCCCAAGAGCAGCACTTGGGGTGGCGTGGTTTGGTGTAGCTCGGTCTGGAATTTCTTTTTCCTTTTGAACTTGTTCTTGTGGATCGGGCGAAGGGTCACAAAGCTGATCTGTTTCCACGAACAAGCAGACGGTGGACCGACCACATGAGCGTCCATCTCCCCAACCCCCGGAGAGAGGGGTCCCAGGACTGGGGAGGGACTGTGGGTGGGTCCGCGGCGGCCAAGCGCTTCAACCATGGTGCCCCAAGGGCCCTTCCCGCCGGGAGTCCGTGCGTCCTTGGGGGGGTCACCCGGGTGCGGTTCTCCGCCTCCCCCCCCCACTCCCCCTTGTGTCCAGGGCCTGGCAGGGCCCCTGCTAACGAGCCGCCCCGTCTGTCCCTGGAAGGTAAGCATCTGCCTGGAGTGTAACAGCAGCAAACTCCGGGGCTTGAAGCGCAAGTGGATCCGCTGCTCGGCCCAGGCCACCGTCTTACACCTAAAGAAGTTCATCGCCAAAAAGCTGAACCTCTCGTCTTTCAACGAGGTGCGGACGGAGGGGAGGGCACGTGCGCTCGTGTGTGATGATGTGTGTATGTTATGATGTGGTGTGTGCATGTGATGTGTATGCAGTATGTGTGTGACTATGTAGTATGTGCATGTGTGAGATGATGTGTGTGTGGTGTGTGTGATGATGTAGTGTGTGTATGCGTGTGTGTGGTGCTTGTGTGTGTGTGGTGTGTATGGTGTTTGTGTGTTATGATGTGTGTATGTGTTGTGTGTTATGTAGTGTGTGTATGTGATGTGTGTGCATGCATGTGATGATGTAGTATGTGCATGTGTGTGTGATGTGTGTGTGTGCATGTGTGTGTAATGATGTGTGTGTGCGTGTGCGTGTGGTGAGGGCAGCCACTGGCTCGTGGACGCAGAAGGCCTGTGCTGTTGGGCTGTGTCAAGCCTGGAAGGAAACCTCTGAGTCCTGCAGGGTTTTCCCTGCACCACACGGGGCTAGGTCACCGCCGGGGAGAGAGTCGGGAGGAGGCAGGCAAAGCCCTTCTAAAATGCGTTTTCACCCCATCCGGTTCCCAGATGTGCTGAGCCCCTGGACCCCTGCCCTCCCAGCTCGCTGCTCATAAGGAGAGGAGCGGTCTCGGGGGTTGGAGGTGTAAAAGGGTGGGGGGAGCCACGGGGTGAGCACCTCCGTGGCCTGGGGAGGGTCCGCCTGGACCAAGGCTGCCCCCACCCCCCACAGGGCAGCCCCTGATCAATAGAGCCTCCAGGAGGCACACAGCGCCCCAGTGAGATGGGGTACCGCTCCCCCAGGAGCTGTGCAGATTGGGGGCCAGCACGAGGCCACTGTCTGCACCCCCCAATCGCACTATACCGCACCCACCCGGGCAGGTGACTGGGGCCACAGCCCTTGGGTCCTCAGCTTCCACCCTCCAGTCGTGTGGACTCAGAGCAGCCCCACAGGACAGGGTAGACAGAGTGCTCTTGTGGAAGGTAGCCCCATCTTTCTCCTGAGGAGCTCTGGAGCGTGACCTGGGGACCCACGCGGCTCTGCCAGCAGGTTGACCCAGGCCTGGGGGGAGGTCACCCACGATGAGGGGAGCGTGTCTTCACGGCGTGGCTCCCACCAAGGACGTCTTAGAACGTTGTGTCCTCAGCCTGCGTGGCAGGCACAGAGACAGGGCGACTGGGCAGACTCTCAGGATCCTAAAGGCAGGAAAGGGGGGTGGGGTGGAGATGAGAGTTAGGCTTGGCCCGTGGACAAATCACAAATCGTGGCTTCGGGAGTTTGCAGGTGTCGGGAGGGGAGGGGAGCTCAGGCCAGGGAGAGGTCTGCGGTGTGAAGCCGGCGCACTGGTGGGATGGAGGCTGGGCGTGGGTGGTGGTGCTAACGTGGTAGGTAGGACAGAGCCTGGCGAGGGGTGGGGGCAGGGTGCAAGACTAGGCGTTTAGACTGGGCCAGGGGGGCGGTCTCTCAGAGGCTCCTTCACCTGAGCCGTCCCAGACAACCCCTCCTGCCCGTCACTCTCTGCCTGTATCGCCTTTGTGGAGTGAGGCAGGGACCCACGGAGATGCGCCCTCCAGACAACTGGAGAAACGGGAGGCACCAGGGCGCAGTGCCCTCTCAAGCTGGCGTCCCCGGGGTGAGTGGGAGCAGGGCTGGGGCGTCTCTGAGCCGGTCTCCTCCCTCAGCTGGACATCTTATGCAACGAGGAGATCCTGGGCAAGGACCACACCCTCAAGTTCGTCGTTGTCACCCGGTGGAGGTTCAAGGTGAGGCTCGCTGGTCTCCCTCGGTAGGGCCGTGGTGGGCGGAGCACATTCCCTGTCCACCCTGTGGGCAGGCATGCCGTTTGGGGACATTCGTTGTGGTCGTTATGGTCCTCTCGGGGTGCCAGCGCCCCCCACGTCCACACGTCCCCCTCCCCTGCCAGCCTGTGTCTGCGGACAGATGCTGTCCCTTGGTCTCCTCTGACTGGTTGGACTTTATCCGTAGATTCCCTCCCAGTCCAGAACCCTGCAGTCACTGTCCTGCACCCCCAAGGCTCTACCTGGTTTTCGGACTCTTAGCAGAAATGCCCGTCCTGCCCACAAGATGGACACAGGCCATTCGGTGATGGAGGGGGTGGGTGTTAGGGGGTGTCCCTGGGACTTGGTCTTAGCCCCCCTAGGTACAGAGCTCCCTACACAGAGCCAGTGCCCCCCCCCCAAGGTTAAGTACCACATGATAGACTCCTGATATTGTTGCCCGCCCTCCCCCCACCCCAGGAGGGAGACTAAACTGGAAGGGGGCGGGCATCACCGTGTAGCCTCCTCCTTCAGCCCCTGAAGTGGGAGACCAGGTGGATGGTCACCATCTCCAGGCTGCAATCAAGGTTGTGCCAAGGAGAATGACAGTGGAGAGGGCACACACACACACACACACACACACACCAGGCAGGGGAAAGGGGCCCCAAGGGAGGACCCCCGAGAATGTGAGATGAACGTGGTGGGGGCGGCCTGAGCTCGTCTGCCCTGGGCAAGGAGCCCCCCTCCACCTGTGCCTCACCTGCACGCATACCTGTTTCCACGTCCCACCAGCGTGGCCCCTGCGAGTCCCCGCCTGCCTACTCACAGGTCCTGTGTGTTTTGCAGAAAGCCCCGCTGCTACTGCACTACAGACCCAAGATGGACCTGCTCTGAGCGCGGGCCTCGGCCACACCACGGACTCTGCCCGCCCCGGGCACCCCAAGGACCCACCACACGGGGACCAGACTTCTGAATAGAGAATATTTATAACTTTTTGTACGAGAGAGAATTCACGACTCAGCCCGACACTACCAGCACCGTGTTTACAGACGACGAAGACACTTCACAGCCCTCGTCGCCGAGAGCCCCCCTGCCCTGCCTGCGCCGGGCAGCGGCGTGGCCCCCCTGGAAGGAGCGCGTCTCCACACCGACCACCTTTGCTTGCTTTCCAGGTCTTGACCAGAGTCTCCGTTTGTGTCCGTTCGGTCTCCAGGAGTTAGGGTTCACGCCAAGCCTCCAGAACTCCCACATGCTTTGACGGACTCCTTCCTAAGTTATTGGACAAGACCCCTCTTCACGGTGAACCATGCTATTTATGTTGCCTTTAGCCTCCTTGAAGACCTAGAAATTATATAAAAAAATTTAATTTAAAAGTATACCAAAAGAGGTTTCCATGAATGTGCTGAGTCCGCGGTGGTATTTGATTCTCCGCATTGGAACGCGGCAAGCACAGGGCTCCCCGAGCCTGCCTGTGTGCTGGGAGCCACGCCAGGTCCACAATTCTGTGGCAGTGCCCCAAGCTCCTGGGGCCTGCAAGTGGCAGGCCCATCCCCCCCACCCCCACAGCTAGGCACAGCCCAGACAGGGAGGAGGCTCCCCAGCCTCACCCCACACATGAAGCCGCGACAGTAGCATTCACGCCCACTTTCCTGGCCTCCCCGTCCGTCCGCTGGCTCCCCCAGAGGTGGTCTTTACAGGCACGTAGCACTGGTCTGCAGAGCAAGCCTTGTTTTTAAGAATCCCCACTGGCCCCGTGCCATCACCCCCTCCCCAGCCTCAATTTGCTTTGCTGAGAAGAGACAGGGTGCACCTGGTCATGTTTCCCCGGGAGCCTGGTTCGGTAGGTGCTCCTGGAGGGCCCTGCCTGATGCTTTGGGTTTTGAGGGGGCACGGGGGGAGCCAGCACACTTGCATTGATCCCACTGCTGACACCCACGGCTGGCCAACAGCAGGGTCCTGGAGAGGGGCCAGCTCTCCCACTGCCAGGACTGGAGATGCGCTCCGCAGACCAAGCACCAGGGGCCTCTGGGTGGGTGGGTCCCAGTGGAAGGTCATCCTTACTGGGCAGAGGTGGTTGTTGTGGTCACTTCCTCTCCTCGCACACCGGTGGCCGTCCGGAACCCCGCGTCAGCCCCTTCCTCCTCCTCGTTGTCTTTGCTGCCTTAGAGGGCACCCCTCCCAGCACGCCGCCGATTCCTTGTCCAGCGAGGGGGAAAGACCCGTCTTCCAGAGCGCCCCGTGATGTCTTAGCATTTCCCTCGTCCCCTCCCGGAGTCCATGCCCATGTTGACTTCTCGGTGAGCCCTTGGGCTCCTTCCTCCACCCCGCCACCCCCCTGTCTGCTCCCGACATGCCGTGACCCAGATGAGCTGGCTCCTCCCCCAGCCCCTGTTGCTGTCCAGGGGGGTCCCCTGCCGTGCTCCCCCCAGACTCAGTGCTCCGCGAAGTATTTCCGCTGAGTGAGCAGCGTTTTGCCCGCGCCCCCCCTCTCCCCCTCTGGGAATTCCTTGGCTTTTCCACACGAAACTGACCTTGCCCTCCTGCCAGCGGGCTGCGGTGATTTTGTGATGAGAACCGGCGTTCCCTCGGCCCCTGGAGACCTAGAAACGGGTCCTTTGGTCCGGACTCGTTCAGTGCGCACCGACCCGAGCCCATCAGCCCCCAGTGCCGTTTGCATTGTTTGATGACCGAAGCTTGCTATTCACCCAAATCCTTGTTTTTAAGAGTGACTGGTCAAGGGCGTAGCGTGCACGTGTACTAGTAAACCCACTACCTGTCTACCTCAGAATACGCACACTGCTGAAGCGTCCCGTCACCCCATCTCTCGTGACCACAGTGCCATCACGCGCCTGGTGGTAGGGTGAGGTCCCCCCACAACCCCCACCCCCACCCGTGGTACAACCAAGAAAAGATCCAGCCGTCCCAACCCCCCAAGCGCACTCGACTCGTGGTTCAGCTTCCACGCGGACCACTGACCGCCCTGGCCATCTCTCCCGCTGTCACCTTGTCGCCCTCCAGAAAGTCACTTGAATTTGCTATGGTGCTAAGTTGCTTACCTTCAAGCCCACAGAGAGACACCATGGAGAAGCCGAAGCCAGTGCCCGCCTCTCCCCAGTTGGTGCCCCCTGTCGTGTGATTGTCTGTGTCTGCAACTGCGCTAGCCCGACAGCTCCTCCCCACCCACCACCCATCCCCGGAAGTACCTATCTTTCTAAGGGGGGTGGGGGGTGGGGGCGTGGCAGCTTCTCTCAGTCCCTTTCCCTGCTGCCCCTGCCTCGCAGCCTTGCGTCTCCCACCCCAGAGAGCCAGGCTCCGTCAGTGCTGGGGTCAGTCTGTCCGGGCACATATGGCGTCCCTGTGAAGTCGTTTCACGCCTCTCCCGTGCTGGTCAAACGTTCTGGGTGCCCTCTTCCCGCGCCACCCGGATAGGACAGCGTTGGTTGACCGCGCTCAAAGGCCCCATGGAAAGAGAAAATGCAGATCGAATATGTACTGTGGCGTTTTCAGGTTCGGGGGAGGGGCAGAGAAGAAAGAAAAGAGACTTAAACTTTATAAGCTTATTTATTCTATTTTCAGCCTCCGGTCGAGTTGCCGGCCAGCTGCGCAGTTTCCGTGACCAGCTTGTTTTTCAGGCGTGTAAATGGCGGTGTGAGATGCCCTCGGCAAGCTTCTTTGTTATTTTCTTTTCAACGTTTGGATCGTTTTTATGGATGAAAAGCACTTTCTTTTATGCTCTGTGCAATAGTTTGGAGCAGGCGTTGGTTACATGAGAGGGTTACATTGTACGTGGCTCGCGGGCTTTGCTCTGGCCGAGAGGGCCGAGGGAACAGAGTGGGATTTCAGAATTCGGACAAGCTGGTGTTCCCTTCTCCATTGCTCTGTTGTTAACGATCCCAAGGGCGCCCTTGTTGGGATCGTGTGTGCATGCGTATGTGCACGCGTGTAAGAACGACCTGTCGGCGATACTGAAAAAGGGTGGCATGTGTGCGACCCACAGACTAGCTTTCTGGGTGCCCCTTCCAGCTGCCCTGGGCCTGCCTGGGTCTCCCTGTGGCTGTGCTGTAGGGGACCCCACCACCCGCCCGCCAGGCCACAGACCTGATGGTGCTGTTGGGTGGGGGGACACCTGCTTGTGACTGGCGCTCAGAGGCCCGCTCTCTGTCCCCAAGAGGCTACGCAGGGCAGCTGTTCCCAGTGGTCTGACGTGTATCCTTGAGTTCAGACGTTGAAAACCGAAGCCTTGCACCAACAGCCGAATTCACAGAGAACAACAAAAAGCCCACATTGCTCTCTGATCCTCAGGAAGTCACCAGAAGCCCTTCCACCTCACGTGTGACCTTAACATGACAAACCAATGTGCTTCCCTGCCTGGGTCTTCAGAGAAACTAGGTAGAGGAGTTGGGGTGAGTAGACTTTAGAAATCGTCACCTTGACCGGAATCCCCTTCCCTGCCAGCCACTGGGGGTGGGGAGTCGGGGGCAGCTGCCTGCTCGGCCGTGGGCTTTCCCACAGCAGCCTCCGGGTGCACACCCTCCCGCAGAGCTGGGAGTTCCAGGACGGACCGCAGCATGCGTGCAGGTATCCCCGAAAACGTATGCATGGCGCTCGCGCAGTCGCCCCCTCTCCCCCCCCCCCCAACTGGGTCTAGCAAAGGCCTCCGCCCCTCCCCCCACAAGGAGCTCGGTTCAGGGTCAAGGGGCAAGAGTTCAACCACTAAGCCTTTAGCATCAGCACCTGGCCAGGTGAGCGGTGGGGGCCCTGGCCCTCACAAAGGCAATCCCACCGAGTTACTTGTCTGGGATGGTTTTGTTTGAAAGTTTACATTTAAAAAGAAAACAAACGCTTTGTGCTGGTGTGTAATTTTTGTACTCTTGGTGGCTGGTTTTTTTGTTTTCGGTTGGGCTTTTTTTTTTGTCTACACTCCTTTTTTTTTTATTTGAATATTGCTTAACTGTTTCGGTTTTCCGATAGTGAAGCTTGTACTCCTTGTGTTGCCAATGCGTATTACATGCTTGTAATAAAAGCGGAAAGAAAAACTTCTCCAAGGCTCCATCAACCAGGCTGAGGTTTTGTTTAACTCGGATCTGGGTCCGCCTGCGGCGACGTGTGCCGGCGATTACACTTCAACCCCCGGCTGCTGGTTCACAGCATCTGGTCGTTCTGGAGGAAACCACACAGGCGGTGCATGCCCTCCCTCCCCCTGGCCCTCTCCCCTCCTCGTAGGCGACCCTCCTTCACTGCTCTGCCCCCCTTGGGCCGAGATCTCGTTCCCGCTGGCTCGGTGTTTGGACGGGGGCTGGGGAAGACTGTGTGTAAGGTTCATCCTGTTCTTTGCCGGGGACGGGGGCTCTGCCGTGGTTCCAAGCTGGGAGCGCCAGCCAGCATTAGTTGGTAACAGATGGAAGCGCGTCGTGAACCGGCTGCTTGTGAATGCGTGGCTGACAGGCCCGCGTTGGATTTCCTAGTCAGAGACCCAGCACAGGAAGCCCAGTGGTCTCAGAATGAGCGTGCGGAAGGCTCAGTCCGGGGATGCCCTCCTGAGGACGCTGGCAGGAAATGGGAGACGCCTGAGCTGGCAGGGAGGCTCATAGGCTGTCATCTGCAGGTGGCTCCTCAGTAAGCTTTCCTCCAGTCCTAATGCCAGTCCGTCCAGCCCCGTGTCTCGTGCTGATTGGCTCGGCGTACAGCAGGAACAAGGATGGTGAGAGGATACAACCCCGACGCACACCCTCCTGATGGTAAACCACACAGTGTGCCCCTGTTCTGTTTGCACGACGGGCCTCTCGGCCCGGGGACAAGGACATGTTTCAGAGTTCCTGTTCTTGTCAAGGCTCTGGTCGGTCAGCACCCACACGTCGAATGCCCTTGCATAGTCACAGCATGGGGAAGGATCCTCTGACACTCCCTGCTCTGAGCCGAGATCCCTCTGACCTCAGCAGGGATATCCCTTGCTGGGCGTCCGCTTCACAGTCCGATACAGCTTGTACAACTGGTCCTGCGGCAGCCACGGTCGGATGATCGGCAGCAGAGTTCCGCTTGCCTGTGATGGCCGTGAGGTGCTGGATAATTCCTCCACCTCTGCAGTCACCGTTTGGAACGGGCACAGAGAGGGATCTCTTCGAGTGCCTTGTCTTCTACGTGTCTTGACGTGGCCACGTGAGGGCTTCCAGGGCTTTGTCGGCCGTGACCCGTGTCCAAACTCCAACACGGTCATGGGGTCAGTTCCAGCTTAGTGACCCTGGGTGCTGGGCAGCAATCCACCCCTGGATAGCATTTCACGGTTCACCCTTTTGTGGATCGAGTAGTGCCCCACAGATACATAGGTTGTAGACTTTTAAAATCCTTATCTCTGTCTGGAGCCCCCGTGACGTCATGG